TATTCTACAAATCTATATTGTCTTCTCGAAACGCATATATCCCTAATCTTTCTTACTGCATTTGGTACTTAGAGATTTGTCTTGATAGCTTCATCTCGTTGTGTTAGTGTAGTGTGACTAGTTTAACTGACGCAAAAATGTCTCAAGTCCTGCGTTAGATTTCACTGACTAACAGATATTTTGGGATTGTTGATTCGTGTTTATAAATCATGTTGTTTTTGGTGAAGTGAAATTTGCGGGAAGCATGAGATAAATTTAGTTTTATCATTTCACATTTTAATTGTTTTTCAACAATAATACTTCTAAATAATTATGCAAACATTAGTTCTTCTCACTCATGAAAATCAACTCGAGTCGTGCCGCATATCATTTCGACCACAAAATTTGTATGGTAATGTTTGACGTTTTTTACTGTCATTATGATTTGTGACAATGAACAGCTTTTTCACTTTTTTCGGAGTGTCTTATAGTCTACCTAAGTATGAGGAAGTTCGTCTTAATGTTTTTATCTATTCATTCATGACAGAGATATTGTATTACTTTCATAATTTGGGGACGTCATATTCTTTTAACTTGGTAAGTATATTAAATTTCTATCGTGGTTGCATAAATTTATAGCCTATCAATAAGATATCTTAAGTATTGTTCTCTCTTGTACAGCACTGGCAGAGTATCGTCATGAAAACTCAGAAGTTATACGTGCCCGATTTTTCTTCCGCGATGAGTTTCTTGTAAGTCACTCTGATTTCTTACTAATCTACACCTTGAGATCCCAATAGTCTATGGTAATTTTACTTTATTCATCTGTAGTTTGTCACTAACTGATCATAACTCCAAAACTACCCACTCGTTCATTAAAAATCAGTAATTCCCATCTAAGTGTTCTGGATGTAATATCAGTTATTTCGTTCTTTGTAAAACTGAAACATTCTATTGTATGCAATTTTGACTACTCAGTTAAACTTTCGTTTTAATTTTTGAAATGAGTTTTCTTAAAATTATCGTAACTTCATGATATCTATATTTTATTTTCATGCTTCTAGAAAGTAACATCAAATAACAATGGTGGACGTCATTATTGCTATCCTCACCTAACATGTGCAGTGGATACGGAAAATATTCGACGCGTATTCAATGATTGTCGCGATATCATTCAGCGAATGCATCTGCGGCAGTATGAATTACTCTAGGAACATATTTTGTAGGCCCCAAATATGATTTTTGTTCTTCCATATTTTTTTGGGGTATACTGTTTTAAAACCCCAACGCTTGTGAATACCATCTCATAATTAATTATGATTAATGTTATCAAGTGCATCGAATATAGTTGAATATTTTACTTCCTTTATAAACCTAACTATCTCTGCTAAACTGCATTTGAAGACCAAGCACTGCAAAACCAACTGTCACGTTTGAAAATTTCGACGTCTTTTTAAAAATGTCAAACGGGATGCAAACAATATCATGTTTTCAAAATCTTATTTGTAATACACCATCTCAGATATTCGTATATTTATCTGAAATTTTTATTTCTCAATCCTTTTATTTTAATAATGTCACTATTACTGCTTTATTCCTTTTGGTATTCTTAAGTTTTGAAAGCATACTATTCTGCCGAATTTACTGTTGACCATAATTTTTTTAATCTTGTCTGTTTGAATGTCTATAAGCTCGTTATTCCTTCTAACTCTGTCTTGGTTTTATCACCGTGATATGCAATTGTAACTTATTTCGGTCGATAAATATGCTCCTGTTTGCAAATCTGTTAAGTTGATGTGCCAATATGTTTACTCCCCTTGGATGTATACACAATAATATTTCGTAATCAGTAGTATCCAGTTCCACATGTTTAAGAAATATCGTTAGCTAGCTATATGCAAACATATGGCTTGGTCATACATTTGGAATTGTAAACTTTTGTTTTCAGTGAATAACTCTTGTCTTTCTTCCTAGTTTCAAATCTTAGTGGTGATATACGCTACCATGTAGTTTTGCAATCCTGAAATGTTTCCTCTCTCTGATTTGCCTAAGATCTGTGTTTTTGAGCTTATATTACTTGTTTTCCGGTTGATTTCACTTAAATGGATTTTTATTGTTAACTGTAGAACGCACAACGCTGTTGTATTCGAAATCCTGTTCGCTAATGAACTTTGTGTTCACGTTGTGATAGCCTTCTCTACTGAAAGTGGACGGGATACGCTTTTCATTTTAGTCAGTTCGAGTGGTTAGATATTTCTCCTTCACTCCTGTTCTCTGTACAGCCACACTTTCATGTAACTGGCTAGATTTACTCATAATATTGACTTCATTTTTCAGCTTGTTAGTGATTTTGCTTAGATGTTTCAACTTGTTACAGACAATCTCACTTCTGTAAGGATTTGTACTTTTTACTAATATGTTCCACAGCTGAGTTTTTTCGTAGATACAAAATGAAAAAGTCAGTGCAAATTAAAAATAAATCTTTGAAGTGCTCCCATTTGTGCTTCTTTGATTTCTTTTGATCTCATTTAAATTTGAATCTTTGTCTAATCTAATCGTATGCAAATCTTACACTTGATACGTTTTTAATGGCCTCTTCCATATGTATTAGGTCATAATTATACAAATTGGCTTACTTAAACCTTTTTCCATTAACTTGGCTTACAAGCGAATGTTTACACAGATTGTGGTAGTTAGGTTTAAACCTGTGTTTTGAGTTGTGGGTGTTTAGTTGAGTTCTGCTCCGGATTTCATCTCCAAACTTCGACGATCAGCTAAGTGATTCATCTTTTAGTTGCCAGTGGTGCCGATTAATATATTGGTTCAATTAGAAAATAACATCCCAGCACTAAAGTACTTTGCTTCTGAACTGTCAAACCTAGAGATGTCTTATTAGTTGTAAAGATATAGAATTTCGTATGTTAGAAAAATCATGACAGTATCATCCCTAGTTTCAATGAATTCTGACCTCGTATACGCCTTCTGATTTTACTTCTTTAGCAGAATCATACCTTGTAAAACAATATTGTAAGTGCTGAACAGCTGAATAATGTTTCAGGTTCGAATTCACTCGAACTACTTTGCTTTGCGTATGTAGCTCTTCTAAAACTGCTCGTAACCCAAAGACAAGTACAAGAAGACTAAAATTAGTGGAGCATATTTAAGTTTACTGGATTGACTTATTGACCCTACCTACGGTGTCAGTTCCATACAAAAATTAACTTTCCGGAGCTACAGAGAGAACTCCGTATATGTCAAATACGGTCAAGTTTGCGAATTATCATTTTGCAGTAATGGATTTTGACGCTTCCATAAGAAGAGATCAAGACAATTGATGGACTGGATGAAACAAGCAATTAATATTACGCAGTTCCGGGTCGTATATAACCTGTTATTTTTGGCAGTCAAGTCTAATATCCGACAGTGATATTCCGTAAGCCAACTGAGTTAATACTCTAAGGCCGTACCAATGACTGAATCCTGGACTAAACTACCTAGGCATTCCTCGACTTTGGTGTAACCACTCGGAACGACGGTCTGTCCTTGTCGTTGACACGCCGAAGCGGTGGCTAAGTACGTCCTGTCATTAACAACCAACTAAGCTACCCAAGGCAGGTCGGTAAGTCCCCGTAGTCTAAGCCGCGAGGTTCAGAGGGCTAAAAAAATGCTAGGGCGGAGTTGCAAAATTAACTAGGCTGTGGAGACGGCAAATTTTCATAATGATAATCAAACATTTCTAGCTTCGATACTTTACAGAATTAAGGCAACACAATGCTAAACATATTCCAACTTGTGTACAGAACATAGTTAATAAGACCAGCGCTGTTCATGCTCCGTGGCAAATAACTTAATCATTTGACTTTTTTTAGGTTTTTTACAGCCTATATCAACTCGAACAGTGAGTCGGGACCTTGGAACCCGTTCTCATGGAGTGTGGAATGTCTGTGAACCTGGAATACAGGATCCTAGAGCGGCATTTCATTTCACAACTGGTCCCATTCATGCTCCGGTTATCTGAAGACCAAAGATCATAACGGAGTACTCGGAATGCCTAAAGATAAAATCAGGACTTTGAATCGGATTCCAATTGTTTATGTGCTATCTGGAAAAAGGCATGATAAAGGTACAAACTGTTCTGTCCCTCATCTCCAGCTGCTTTTTCATCAACCGCAGGTCAGGTGAAATCGAAAATTACGTCTATCGGAAGTATTAAGTGTTCTCACAACTTAATAATCAAGTTAGACTGAATAGAATATTAAAACAGCTTTCGGCACGATAACCAAGCGAACACGAGGAAACTCCCACTGTAGTTATCCTGTGACAATAGTTTTAAGAGGATGTACCGTTTAATTTAGTTAATAGTTCCAGAAATGAGACAACTGTTAGCAACCATGGCTAGAAGTCTGAGCTACTAAGTGTTCATAATATCTTACCAGGGTGTTCTTAACATGGTCATTTTCTAAGTAAACTCGGAGAACAAAAGCAATCTGAAGGCACTGATTGTAGCTCACGAGGTTAATTTGGTCAGGAAAAATATGTAAGGTCAACCGTTTGCGAAATTTGAAAAGGTGAAACTATAGTCTTCCCGAACAAGCGACTACACAATGGGAAAATGAATCTACATTATTCGATTCGGTTGGTAAGGTTAAAAATCCGTACCCTTCATTGGAGCACTCAGCTTTCAAAATAAGTGCTTCGATATGATTTTTCGACTATAACCGGTGTAAAGTTGATATGGCGTTCAAATGTTTCGGGACGGTCAAGAAGGTAGCCACTAATCTTACACCAAAAATAAAATTAGCGAACTCAGAGTCTCGTCTGCGTTTTTTGGAAGCTTATATATGTTATACCTTTTGCAAGTCTAATAGGCAGTTTTAATTTCTGAACCTGTAGAAATAGGATATTTGCATCGTATTGGACTGTTAGTTTTTCTGAACCAGTATCAGCAATAGATTGGAGAGTAATACGTTTTTTATTCGATTTACTCTGATATACAGATTGGTCAATTAGAAAAATGAGTATTATTCATCGTTTCCCAAAACCCGGCCGTGTCCAGGAAATCTTCCCGTAGTTGTAGTTGGTTGTCTTGCGCGTGGGGCTTCTCCAAAACCAGTTGTAATGCCTCTTTGGTTTGGAAATAGTCTATATCTGTGAAACAAAATACACTGATTTTAATCTTGGAGTACTTAATACAACTGTCCAAACAAGAGATAGGAACAACTAACAAAATAATTACTCGAAAGAAAAATTACCTGATATTTAATGGAAGTGAAACTATTCTAATAAGTGTGAGGAATGATCTGAATCCAGCAAACTAATAATTGGAGGACTGTTAGTCTTCGATAGACATGTTAGTCACGTACAGTAAGTATGTATGGATATTCATACAATGTTGACTTATCCATTCCTCTAGGATGTGATGAATAATCGAATTTCGGTAATATCGGGTGGAATTAGCCATACTTTTTCAATGTTTAATAACAGTACGATATCTGGCATTTCAGAAGATTTTTCTGTTTATTTAGTGGTATCGCTTAAAACAGTAACAATTTTGCGCACAGGTCAAAAAATACTTAATTCAAATTAGATCAACCAGAACCAGTCAATCTAAAGTATATCGAAATCGAGCACAATATTTTCAATTATTCAGATAGCTAAGTACTAGTAAGTAAATGATTCAGCAAGTCTAAATAAATTGAGTTTTAAAGTCACAGTAAAGAGATTTTCAACAACCATAGTGAGGCACACAATTGAGACACTCAGATTTCAGGTCGTAGTTACTCATCATATGTATGGATTACAAAACGTGACTTGCTTGGAAAAACAGCGCGTGTGTTTCCCTAATTGTCGCCTGTGCAATTGTTCTGTTGCTAATTTAGGCAACTTGCTGACTATTTTTAGAATTTTGACGAGTATTACGCAGTTCAGATAGGCTTGACACTATGTTTGTACATGTCCAGAAGAGCAATCTTATTTCACTGTTAGCTATATTTTTAAGTTAATGGTTACTTCCAAAACAACCGGTGCGAAATCTTCAGATTTCTGATACAAATTAAATAATCTTTCACTAATGAATTATGATGAGAATAAATACCACAGACCAATGACACATTCCAAAATTATCTATTACCGTACTCACTGCCTTCTCGTGGCGAACGTTCTTTATGAGTAAAAGGACTGAAAACAAATATCCAGCGCTTATACCAGATTGGTGGATATTGAGGATTCCACCTGGAGGAAGTGGAAAACCCTGATTCCAAACCAATGATCGACATTTCTTTTTATTAAAACTTATAAATATTAGTACAAGGTGGTACCAAACATATATGCGCCACACAAATGATTCAATTTGAATAAGGTCTGGGTTACTGCTCGGGAGCTAAAGATGGTGGTTTTCTTGGGCGGCCACACCCCGAGCCTTCGATCTAGAGGTCTAATACGTAAGGCAGTCGAGCAACGCTAGGAGATGCAAACCCATGGTAGCCGATGACCAACAATAGGTTCATATGCCATTTGATCCCTCAGGATCCTGGAGCCCACGTGCACCACTGGTTTGAAATCAGGGTTTTCCAACTCCCCTAGGTAGACCCTGTGTCCACTAACCCAGTTGAGGCGCCGGTCATTCGCTTCTCGTTCTTTCAATTTCTTAAACAGCATCCCAGACGCGAGCAGGCAGTGAGTAGGACTTCCCTGACAGTGGGTGTATACGCATGGCCATGTGAGTATTTTGAAAAGGACAGTTGGCTCCCACCACCCTTGGCCATACCATGGCATTTGTCGACATTGACTCCTTGATCCATAAGGGAATGACGTATAAACATATTTTAGTCACTCCCTACAACAGGACTGCGTCTCCTAACGTTTTTTCACAGCTCCGTGTATTAGGCCTTTTGACCGAAGGCTAGGGAAGTTGTTTCTTAGGAAAAACAATCTGTTTAAGCGGCCCTGTCATATCTCAACCCAAACACGAATAAAAGGATAATTACTGTTGTAAAATATTTTTTGGTCTGTTTAATCGTTCATCTATATATTATTTGTACTTTACATTGGTCACTTATCCGTTCCTCATTATCAACATTTTGTGTATCCTTTTTTGTTTCAATTAACCTAGCAGCTTGTCTAAGGTGAAAGTTCTGTCCTGTTCCAACGGTCTGAAGCTGTTGTTCGGTCGAATTTATGGATGCTTTTAGTAGATAGAATTCTTAATGCAACTTTTCTAAACCTTCGTTTCCCAATCAAACTGGCCTCCTTCAGAGTTCGTAGATAGAACAACGGAAAGGTTTGACTATGCTTTGCAAAGCCTCGGTATTGACGTCTCTTATACCTCTGAATCTGTATTCATCATTACAGAAGCACTAAAAGACCGCTTTTCATCTGTAGATTCGAAGGGATTATTTTACGTGTGCTTGTCCGAAAAACCCTGAGGCACCATCATTCAGCAGGTGTGGGGTTGTTGCACTAAGTGTCATAGCAGCGACAGCGCTAATCGACTAAATTTTTAACTGAACTGTATTTCTTATTATGTAATCCCCTTGTTAATTATTTTATGTTTGTTTTCTCTCCTTTGCTTCATATTTACTCCCTTTTTCTCACAATATTATTTATACCTTAAGTTGCGCATTTCATTTTTTGGTGACGTGTTGAACTAGATTCTATGTGCTTTTGATGTAGTGAAAGTGAGATATGGTTGGTCACTGAGTACAAATAGATACAGCTTACTGACAATTAAATAAGTGATTTCCGTCCTTGTTATTGATTTCCACTCCGGACTTATTGAGAGTGACTGCTTGAAATTGTGTTAAATAAAGTATTATCTAGTCTATACTCCGGTTCTCTATTCTGGGCCAAGAATCCCGGATCTAATATAACGTAGCTAGTCTTATTATCGTATTAACGTATCATCTTATTGTACGTGAGAGACAAATATTATAGACCATCTGTTATATCAAGTTTATAGATTAATATCCTTTCGAGTTTTTCTATCCTGGTTAGTCAAACCATGGTGTGCACTACTTATGCAGACAGAAATAAGTAGTACGATGCAAGAATTTGAAGTAGAATGTTTACCAGCAGAAGAATGAAGTAAACATGAGAGGGAGGTAAACGAAGAGCAATTGGAATGACAACAGGACCGGAAGAATGATTACGTCTGTAAAAGACAACTGAAGGAAGATAAACATATGATGTATTCATTGTATGATTTTGGTACTTCACGAAGGCACTGCGTAAATATGTATAAAATAATAAATTGCTTTTCCATATCTGAATTCTCTTACACTACAGACATGCAGTTACTTTATACCATATAGACTGGACGTACTTTTATGAGCTTGACTTTCAATCTCATAAACTTTTGCAAGTCGAATAGCGAAAAATAGTGTCTGCGTTTTCTCGTAGTTAAAACTATAGGGTTGATATAAACAAAGGTTTTCACACATATTAATAACACTTAAGTTACAAAACGTTTCTGTACAATAGTTTCCTCAAATAAAACATAGTGTAGCTAGAGATCCGAACTTAGAAAGAGTAAGTGGTTAGTTAGCATTTGTATGAAAAGTCAAATTTGATTAATTTTAGGCTTCAGAACGCAGTTGGATTATTTTGCACTAGTACATAGGGAGCGCTAAGTGTTAGCACAAAAAAACTGTAGTCTGCTTTTTTAATTTAGTGAAATATATTTTTGATGGAATGGGGTCCTAAAATATCACTTTGTGTTTCCACTTTTGACGCACACTTGAGGATGTAAGGGTGATTTATATTGTTCAGTGGAGTTCTCGAATATAGCAGTCTGGCGCTTTAACTTCTGATTCATCCTTTCAAGTATATAGGATTATGAGCTAAGTCTTACTGGTTAATGATTCTCCAGGGCTTTTCAAACCAAGTTAATTTTAACATTACTAATCATATAGTGACTACAATATGAATTAAGTTGAACATTACATACAGTATCCACATGGAGAAATTACTTACAGAAATCCAGGAGTCTTTAATATAGCTTGACCACCATACTCTTGGGGATACTGGAAAACGAAAAAGTAGTAAAGATGTCCAACGATTATTCCAACCAGTTCCATCATCGCACTGCAGTTACAAATAAAATTTTTGTTATAAAACAAACACAGACTAACCTCCCACGCACTATTAAGTTAAATATTACCAAGACCCACGGAAAGTACATTGCTTTGAACTGCATACCAAACCAAAATTGGACAATAACATCACGATTTAATTGACTCCATATATAGAGCACTGTCAGTACCATTGGCTCCAGAAGCACCTAGTTTTATGGAGAACATTGCAGTAAAAATTACTACATGGTATAATGTTGTAGTAATTGTAAAATGCTTTTTGACTGAAATTGTTCTCTATAATTAACTTAATCTCACTTCATACATAATAAATAAGTATTGATTCATAGTCAGTATTTAACCAAGCTATCTATGACCGTTAAGGATGACAGTTTATTGTTTAGTTTTACGATTGATAAACTGAAGATTTGATTTACACATTAGAAAAACTACTTAAGACAACTATTGGGATTAAAAACAGCTACCATAAATCTGAAGATTATAAAGAAACTGCGGAGTATATCATGTTCATTAGTTTGCATATTAAATGCAGTTATTTTTAAGTTAATCCAGTTGATATTCAAACTGAAAGGCACTTGGGTGTATATCACGGTGTCGCAGATCATTGAACAGATAATGATGACGGTTTGGCGTAACTATGCTCAGATAACCGTTTATTTATAGAAGGCAGTAAATTTATGCATATGGAAAGACATCGCCCAAAGTGGCAACCCCAAAAATAAACCTATTGATGAGTCCAGATAAACTATCTTGCCCTCAGTTATCATTAGAGAGGCTAAGTAGAAAACTACCGCTAATTCTGGAGCACGTGTTTGACTCTGATTACGTCATAATGCAAGCACGAGTTTGCCTTCGTTTTACTGGACGCAGAAAAGTCACAACAGGAGTTCAGCTTTACGACGAAAAAGTCAAGAACGCATTTTAGGAACAACTACAGAAGCGGTAATGCAAGCACGAAAGCAACGTTCACCCCGATGTGGTCTAGCATGATTCTCAAACAGATAAAGGAACATTATTAACACGTATCGATGACTTGAACCATAAGGTTAAGAAGCACCAATGGATTTCTGTAGTGTATATTGAATGCACAGATACTCGGAAATTCATTACACTAGACTCTGAAAACACACTAAGCGTAGATTAACAACAAGCGTATTTAATGATTGTGATCAGTGGAGGGCAGTGAAAACAAAAGGTGAAAAAGGCAACGGCGACAGACAACAGTAGACAACTATTTAAACTACTCAAGGTGTAAAAATATGGCTGTTATCGAGACTGTTTTGGAAAAAGATGAGACCATTATTCACTCTCAATAAGGGAGATTAGGCCTATGGAGAGGACATTTTGGGTAGTTCAGCTGGCTTCAAGCTACTCTTAACTTAGCCATCTCCAAACAACCTGCATAGTAAATTGATACAAGTCCCACTATTCTTACGGAGGTTGAAAAGACTATAGTTGGCCTAAAGTGAGAAGGAGTAACAAGTCCCTGTGCAATTAACTCTGGAGATCTTTACGGATAATGGTTCACTTTTAGCGGTTGAGTTCTTAGCTAGATTTTGAGAACTGGACTTAATTTCATTTGACCAGTCTAAATCTCTGATCGTTCTAAATTATAGGGAAGGATAAAAATCCTTTTTTGATAATTGCAGAGGAATCAGTTTGACAATTGTAATATCTAAAATATTGTGCAAAGTCTGCTTAAGGAGAGAGGAGCTTGGTTGTCACACAGTGCTAGTGTTGGAAACAGCAGTTGCATCGGGTAACTACCGGAAGCTTTCTTCGACTCAGCCAATCAATCATATTTACCGACGTCTTGAATGATGGCCAGTTCTTCGAGAGAAATTTTGGCTGGTCATGTATAGCGAAGGTTGGAGCGGCTTATGCTAACCTGAGCCATCTGTGGCGCCCTTGTGACGTTAGTCTGACTAAAAAAGTCGGATCCACAAGTCGGTGAGAGCAGTTATGCTCCACGCTTGTGAAACCTGGCTTCTTCGAACTGAGGTTGGGCGACTCTGTGTTTGATCACCGTTGTCTCTGACGGATTGCCAACATTCAGTGACGACACCGTGTTATTAATGCAGAGGTTAAGTAACGTGTCCTGGCACAGTGACGATAATCCAATTGCAGTCACCGTCTTGAAATATTGACTTCGGTGGCTTTGACACATACTACGAAGTCATCCAAGGGAATTCTACATCGTGAATTATTGTCCGATGCTGGATCTGGTTATAAAAGGCGGCCAGTGTATGATATGGTGTCGTGGTATGGAAGAGAGCTGTAAAGGACTGAGGTCTGTCGGTTCCCGACGACTCTCTGATTGACACCCTAGAGATAGTGCAACAGTAGTTCGAGACGTTATCAGACATGGCTCAAAATAGAAGCACTTGACGACCTGTTGTAACTTTTTTCATAAACGTGAAAGCAACTTTAAATGAAAGAATGTTTTCTGTTCGTATTTTTCCCAACCGAACTGCTTTTACTATTATTATTTCACTAACACTAATTTATATTCATTGTTCTTTTTAATTGTAATCACCTTTGCCACTTCACAATATATTATTGTGTAGTGCAGATACATTTCGGTGTCCCTTTGTGCCCATATTTGTATTTAAATGAATAAATCTTAACCCACAGCTAGACTTTTGGTAAAATGGTTTAGAATCATTATGAATGGAGCAGATGCACCTACTCCTTATCATTCCTTATTTTCTGAAGCCAGAAATCTCGTAACCTTTTTCGAATCTTCTCTACTACTACTGAATCAGTTACTAATTTCAGGATTTCACCTTGCTGTGCTCTAGTGTGCCGATTCGATTCAACACATGTATGTTTAGGGTTCTACGTTGTATGTGATTGTGAGCATGCGAATGACCTCATCACTCGCGCCAATATCAGCACTCATACGACTACCCATAATATACGAACTTCTGGACTACTCTTAACTGCTCGCTGTTCAGAGCGATTGGAGAGATAGGCTCCTCCTAGTCTTATACACGTAATTTTCACGCAGGTGTAAAGTTAATGATCAGATAACTATATCGATTTATGCTACTAGAAATGTTGCAGGGAGTCTTGTTTAACTTAGAAAGCTCTGTATGAAACTTGCGCATGAACAACTTTTCTATATGCACTCGTCATTTAGTTTATGGTGATGGTAGGTTTTAAAATTTCCGTAGTCACCTGTTTCTGTAACAGTTCTATTACACAGCCCTAATTTCGTCACCGGAATTCATTTCTAGGTAAAATATACAGCTAAAGCCACTAACATATCTCTCTAGTCAGTGATTTTAAGGACGACATTTTAAACATGGTAGAGCCACTTACTAAAATACATCAAATTGATGTGTAAACTCAGACCCAGGCCCTTTGGTCCCTTGGAGTCCCGCGTGCAGGGCCATGGATGCTCACTGCTGAGTCCTGTATTAGGACCAAACAGGTGTTTAGTGCTTCTAGGTTTTCAGTGGTGGTTTATCTTAGATCAACTCGTGAATTTAATTGTGAAAATACCGCAATGTACACAAATCCCTATACTGAAAAACATTATCGTTTACACGTCATTACATTTATGTGATAAACAATGTATTTTGAGATTAAATAGACAAAAAGGTCTTATGGCTATAAGTGAAATATGAAATGACAAAATTATGACAAGCAATCCCTGGTATTTAACTTACGTAAAATGAAGCCAAGAAACTGACAATCTGTTGATCAGTTAAGAAAATCTTGTGAACATGAACAAATATTCTCACGATCATTGGGTAATTTATAATAACTGAACTAACTTTTATTAGAAACCCCATAAATTGAACCTCATAACCATTGACCGGGGTCAATCCAAATAAACTGCGAGGATTCAACAACATTTAATTCAACTGTCACACTTCAGCAACTAACGATGGAGACGCATGTTTCATTAAGATTTGCTACTTATAATTCAGGTAAAAAGCACTTGTTCTCACATGTCTTGCAATCCCAACTAAACCCATCAGCTAACCAGTACGACGAAGTATGAGACAGATGATTCAAGTTATCTTCATGCAAACTAGTGAGTCCAATTTCGAAGTAATGACAGATTACTTTTAAACAAAAAAGCGGTACAGATTTCAGAGGAAGAATCCGTCTTACGTCGACTTAAAACACAAAAAGTAATTGTATAACAGTGTGTTACAAATTTCGTTAGAATAGCAAAATAGTACTACAGATAAAGGATACCACCAGTGCTAGCCAAGTGAACAAGAACATAAATACATAATCTGCAGTGCGTCCGAGGAACATACCTGAAAATAATATTGAAATTAAGTAAACTAACCATTCTCTAATCGAGAGGAGTATGAATACAAGAAGTACAGATTGATTAGGAAGTGAAACCCAGTTGATGGGGATACTGGATAGAACAACAAAGCTGTGATTGGCCTCCATATCTATAAAATGGTAAACTATATAAGTAGCAAACCTCGAAGTTGGAATACATTCTGTTCCACAACAAAATCATACGCATGGGATCAATAATATTAAATTTACCGAGAAGTGAAAACAATATTGTCCCCGAGAACCAATAACGGGTGACAGGAGGGATGCTGTTGAACATATCAGACAAGTCATTCCCAGGCATGTTTATACAGTTTAAAATCACTTTATATCAAGAGGCGTGTCGAAGTATTATGTAATTTCCTCAACTGATATTGGAAATTTTTCATACGAAATCCCACAGCCTAAAGAATGGAAAACATTTAAGAACTAATTAGACCAAGGCTTCATGGAAGTGGGTCATGACGTTTTTGTATCCAGATTAGGAACAGAATTGACGCGATAACCTTACAAAGACATACGTGTAATTAGAAGTACAACTAACGTTTGAGTTACCGCCCTCAAAACGATCTCCAATATAATTATCAGCTTAATAATCAGTCTTCAGTAATAAGGAAAGTAGGTTGGTAGACCTGTGATAATCCTTGCACCTTGCTTTCTCGAGGAGGTCCATCTTTTTTTCGAAAGTGTTCAACGATTGGATGGATACCACTATTGTGACATGTATACTCAATGATTTTTGTAACGACAAAATAAAAACCACACTTATATTCAATATCCATTGTTTCCCTATATCAATGGTAAAGAAACGTATATAATTCTTTGGTTAAATAGGCATACTACCACGACTGTTAAAATATAAACACTATCTCCGCCGTCTGTTCTTCTGCTTTATTGGCCATCGCCTTTGTTTGAAGATTATAATAGTGTTATAACATCCTTTTAGGCCTTCCCACACTATGTTGGAGTTTTGGCCCGGACAATTAATAAATAATACTATCTGGTTTATTCTTTCTCATTACACCGTCGATTTCACCATGCAGAGGGATCTTTAATAATCAAGTGAACTCATTTATGGTTATCTCAGAGAGCAGCTTACAAATAACATTCATTTCATATCAGCTGTTAACATTTTGTTGCTTAGTATACCACTCGTATTGTAATCCGTTATCTTTTACTTTGCTGATAGACAGCTTTGTGGTGTTAATCCTTTTTGGTATATTAATGATATCTTTGAGTACTGTTGTATCTTGAATAAGCTCTTTTGCTGGGATCCCTCATAACACTTGTTCAGGTAAGGTGTTCCAGACACTGTACACTCGGTGAGAGGTACGAGACCCCCTCCATGTTTATGAGACCGCAGCTATGGCCTTAAAGATGATTAGTTCGGGAGTGAGCACAAAATAAAACATCTTGACACCCAAATCGTTATTAGATATACGGAATTCAAGTTTGAAATCGCCTCGCGCTCTGAGAAAATGTTAAGGCGTTGTAGGCGCTCATCGTCAGGCAGCTTGGAAAGACCCTACATTAATTTTGTTTTCAGACGCTGGACATGTTAGAGTGTGTTATTATTCCTGGCAATACATGGGCTGTCTGCTCAAACATAGTACTCTAGGTGTGGTCTCACATTTGTAGGAAACTGTAGTAGCATTGGACAATAGCCACACAATCCACAAAGCTGTTAACACGAGACTACTCAGAAAATAGATATTCAATATTTAACTCGGGGAAATACCTAACAATGGAGAAGGCGCGAACAATGAATAGAATGGACTGGAGTTGATCGAGTGGCATGGCTCGTCCATGCAGGCGTGGTCTCTGCCGAATGTTACCTTATATCATCTATTCATATTAAATATATTGTTCTTTCTCTAGCCTAACCTTGTTCTACATCATGTATTGGTAATTGATACGATACAGTGAGTTGGTGTAGTCGATGGTGTGACTTCCACGTAAGATCTTATAGATTAGGCAGTTATATCATGACGAATCTACAATTTTGGGATTAGGTCTATTATTAGAGCAGTACTAATATCATAGTAGACCATAATTCTACATTGGTGAGTCCAACTAAAGAAACGCAACCTATTATTATTAATCCTTATTTCCACTTCAACTTTCTCGATCGATTTTATATTTATGTTAACCCTGTATTCTAATAGTCCTCTGATTAATGCTCACATACATTATCGTAATGTTATATTGATTAGTCCTCATGACAAACTAGCTCAATCGATAATAAAAGTTAATCATCTATATCAACTAATTAGCTTTGATGGTTCGTTAACAAGCTTTAATAGCATTTACATGCTTCAGCAACATAGACTTGTTTAAACATCAAGCTCTAGCAAATATGACCTGTAAATAGCGTAAATATACATTGACTAACAATGCAATCAAGGACTAAATAGTTATCTGGATCTAATTCCCAGTGTTCCTTCACTTAACACCTCATCCTGTTTTAAACTACGCACTATCCTGTAATATCTTTTCTTCTGACCACTGCCTGCCTAATTTCATATTTTCGAGTTCCATTGCCAAACAACAAGGATGACACTTCTCCAAAAACATACGGTGAGTTTCATCTATAGGTTTTCTGCAATCATAAGTTCATTTTAGATGGCTCGTTCAATAACAACCACACAATTAACTGAATTCATTCGATTGTTCTGATCCGAGCGAGTGGCAGAAACGTCAACACCATCAAGCACCCTGGAATTAATTGCCATACTGCATGTTTTATTCTGGATACTTTTGGATCATTACTACTCCTTACAAATGGCGTTATATGTCGTCCACTGAATAATCTAATTTCTAGAAATAATCCAGGCGAGTTCAACTATCTTACTTAATGATTTTTTGTACTGAACATGTATATGTTTTCCAGTTGCTTTTGCTATATATTTGTAAGTGTCCCTAGGCTGAATGCAGTAACTTCTTATGGAATGTTTATAACGCGTCATATTCCTGCCTGAAGTTTCATAAGCAGCCTGGTCGTGTTCATTATATTTTAATTGTCATATACGTCAACAACCTGCTTGTTAAGCTGGCCCGTACATACGTTACACTATATCTTCATGTCTTCTAAATTTAGAAATCATCTGAATCGCCTTTAACGTGTATAAATAAACCCATCATAGTCGTTGTTGCTAATCGTATTTGGGTTTATGGATTGGTTTATCATAGTATCAGCCTAAAATGCAGACATAGTTTAGATAATTAGATTACAAATTTAGGTACTATCAACGGCACTAGTCAAATAACTAAATTCCCAGGTAGCTGTTGACTAAACAAACGTTTAAAATCAAAACTCCGTAGCCTACTAAAATTACCACTAAACGAATATTTCTGAATTGAAAATTATAATATAATTAGGCGTCTCGGATTCTGTAACACTACAAATTTCTGATAATTTTGAATCACCTAAAGCAAAAATACCTATTTTTCCACTGGCTAATCCTCAATCAACACTATAACTAGTTTAACATAATAGTTTCAGGATATCGTCATAAAGCATTGTCATGACTTGACGATCACGTAATATGATTGATAATATTAATGAAACTATTAACATAACCGGTCTTCAAATCGACTTATAATTATCACTGGTGTTGTTTTTCTTTTATCTTCATTCACTACAGATGATTACAGTATGTTTCTCTATCAGTTGCTCATTCAGTAACAATCTCAAAACCTTGTCAGTCTAATTGATGGTCTAGCGACACAATCATGCATGCAAATAATCAGTATAAGCAGTCGAGCAAATCTCCTGTAAACTGAAAACATCAATGTCGAATTTACCTCAACACTGACTAAGGTTCAAGCCATTATCATAGACATGAGTTGGGAGTGTACTCCCCCTGGTTACAACTTATGTTCTCCCTGTTAATCACATGAGCATCACTCACTACTAATCATCTTGTAAAAACTTATTTAGCTAAATACATCTTGCAGCACCACATCACTTCGTAATATGACACAGGCCTAACTGATTTTAATAACCTATAACCACTATATCTCGATTTAATCGTATTCCGCCTTATAATAAACTGCATACTTCCCACTAACTTGTATGCCCATCAGCCAGCAAGTATAAATATAAATAAATAGTCTATCGCAGATCAGAACATTGAGTCCAGAGCATGTCTCTTACGAATACACTCATGTTTAGCGATTTGTTCCTAGCTATCTGTCCAAAATTCATATAATCATCACTCACGTATTTAAATTTTATTTTGATAACCATTCATGTGTATTAGTAGTATTACTAAATTCTATCACGGTCAAGTAAAAATGAGGTTGAGAAAATCTCCCCGTAACCAAATAAACCGTATCAAACTAACTGGAACACTAGTTGGAATTCTTCTCCACGGTATACTTTTGTTCCTTCAGTTAGCCTACTAATACAGATGCAATTGGAAATCAATTCATATGGACAACTTACCGGCATAATTGTTAATTGGTTTCATAATTTAAACCAAAACTAATACCAATATTAACATTTCTACAATATTCATTATTTTAATATTTCTAAACACAAAATAATTACTACCTATAAGTTAAGTTATTAACACGCATCGTTTTATTATTATTATTGTAATCCCATTTTTTAAAGTTCAAATAATCTTCAACCAAATTTTCATTTTAAGCGTGTTAATCATGAAAGCAGATATTTTAAGATTATTACATGTATTTCCCGACCAGATGCTGCCGCCTTCTTTTTGATTTATCTTTCAGCTTATCAATACCCGGAGGATCCTTATTATCCTTGGTAACCTCCGGCGCGCGACGATCCCATCCAATTTGGTATCGAACCAATATCACGTTGATTCTGGTGGGAGAGTAGTGTAGTAGCATTGGACAATAGCCACACAATCCACAAAGCTGTTAACACGAGACTACTCAGAAAATAGATATTCAATATTTAACTCGGGGAAATACCTAACAATGGAGAAGGCGCGAACAATGAATAGAATGGACTGGAGTTGATCGAGTGGCATGGCTCGTCCATGCAGGCGTGGTCTCTGCCGAATGTTACCTTATATCATCTATTCATATTAAATATATTGTTCTTTCTCTAGCCTAACCTTGTTCTACATCATGTATTGGTAATTGATACGATACAGTGAGTTGGTGTAGTCGATGGTGTGACTTCCACGTAAGATCTTATAGATTAGGCAGTTATATCATGACGAATCTACAATTTTGGGATTAGGTCTATTATTAGAGCAGTACTAATATGATGGTAGACCATAATTCTACAAAACAAAATTCGAAGCATCTCGCCAAAGCATTTAGATG